AAATGTTAATGATTAATCGATAATCGATCGTTAATTCTTCTGACGATCGATTAAGAACATTTTATCGAATGCCCGTCTCTAGTTGGGATCGAGGTCACTGCCGATACACTGCAGTTTCTTCCATAACGTCTATACACATAAAATAAGAGAAACACTCACCCTGACGAAGACCAAACGATGATCATCACGTACGTGTTTTGCACCGAGGTTGTGGATCCACTGACAAAAACATTATTTGCCTCCAAACTTTTGTACGTCTTCATCTGTGGTCTGGTGTAGAACCACGTCTGGAGAAGGTAGTTCGCGTTCTCCACTACCTCGATTGTCTTCAAATCTTTTACTTCGGTCGAAAATTCACTCATTTTTGTAAGATCAGGGTCACGTCCAATATATTTGTCAAATATACAAGAACAAGAGCTCCCTGAATCAGTCGGTTCAATGGGCGAGTAGGTGATTGTTCCTCAGAGCCGCTGGACTCTGAACTCGAGACACTTACAGACGACGTCCCAGAGGATTTTAAGAGACGAGCAACATCCACTAAACTCAGAGTTTCAGCTGCTTCACTCTGGTCTGAGGCTTTTAGTAACAAGATCTAGAACAAATCGTTTTAAAGGAGCTTCGTTACGGTTGCAGTCGGACTTATGAATACATTTTAATCTATTTATCTAAGATTGTGTGTTTTAAACATATTTAATATCAATTGTGATTTTAGCCAAGCGTGATGGATGAATTTAATTGGTTGTTTATGGAACAAATCGTTCTGCACTGGAGCATCTGTAAAACTTTATTTTGTTATTGTGATTTTATACGTGTTTTGTGGATGAATGAAATGTGAAATGTGGAACCTGATTCTCAAATCTGCAAAGCAAATTTACCTACGAATAAAGCGACCGAACCGAACCGAACCTAAATAACTGCTCGTACTTTTGCCTCGTTACTGGCTCTAAATCCTTCCAATAAGAACTCTTCTCCATATCTGTGTTCTCGTGTTTGTCGTGTTTGTCGTGTTTGTCTTCACTTCCTGTCCTCCACCTGAAATTCGTGCGTCATCGTGATCACGTGACTGAAACCCTCCTGTTCCAGGTTATTATGTCTCAAAAATACCTCGTTGTGAGCGAGGTCGTCTCTCTCTCTGGAACTGCGTCTGGTTTGGTTTCCGTGGAGATAGAAATGTTTAATGCCGAACTGTGGAACATCCCAGACATAGAAATAACATCTCCACACAGACTGAATCTGAATTTGAGAATTATAACTCGTCAAACCTCGATTATTGGCGGTTTTGGAAAACATCCCAACATTTTATTGGCGTTCAGTGCGACTGAAATTAATTCTATAATAATATTGTTCAAATAGTATTGTTCAAATTATTCAGTAATGCTATTAAAATGCAGAATTGCATTATAATAGAAATCATCAGGTTAAATGTGAAATGTGACTTGAATCTTTTGTGTCAAAACAAAATGTTACTAATAAGAAAATCTGGCTCTAGTTGTTGTGACATTGTCACATTCTAAATCAGGAGAGTCAAACTCACATCCACAGAGGCCAAAATTAAAAACTGGGACTAAGTCTTGGGCCAAACTAAATATTTATTGAAAAATTTCAACACCATCTGCATGTTTTCTCTTATTTCGACATAATGTAATATTAAACCTTTTCTTATTCAAATAAATGTTTAATAACAGTAAAAAATCATTGGACAGATGCACAAATGCAACTTTAAAGCTTAAATCTGAATTTGAGAAACTCGTCAAACCTCGATTATTGGTGGTTTTGGAAAACATCCCAACATTTTATTGGCGTTCAGGGCGACTGAAATTAATTCTATAATAATAATATTGTTCAAATTATACAGTAATATTATTAAAATGCAGAATTGAGGTTTAATAGAAATCATCAGGTTAAATGTGAACTGTGATTTGAATCTTTTATGTCAAAAACACAGTGTTGTTAATAAGAAAATCTGTCTAATTGTCACATTCTAGAACAGAAGTGTCAAACTCAAATTCACATTGGGCCAGAATTAAAAACTGCAACAAAGTCGTGGACCAAACTAAATATTTAATGAAAAATTTCAACACCATCTGCATGTTTTCTCTTATTTCGACATAATGTAATATTAAACCTTTTTTTATTCAAATAAATGTTTTATAATAGTAAAAAATCATTGGACAGATGCATGAATGCAACTTTAAAGCTTAAATCTGAATTTGAGAAACTCGTTAAACCTCGATTATTGGCAGTTTTGGAAAACATCCCAACATTTTATTGGCGTTCAGGGCGACTGAAATTAATTCTGTAATAATATTGTTCAAATAATATTGTTCAAATTATACAATAATCTTGTTAAAATGCAGAATTGAGTTATAATAGAAATCATCAGGTTAAATGTGAAATGTGACTTGAATCTTTTGTGTCAAAACAAAATGTTATTAATAAAAAAATCTGGCTCTAACTGTTATAGGACATTGTGAATTTGAGTTTGACTCTGCTGATTTAGAATGTGACAGAGGCCAAAATTAAAAACTGGGACTAAGTCTTGGGCTAAACTAAAGATTTATTGAAAAATTTCAACACCATCTGCATGTTTTCTCTTATTTTGAGATAATGTAATATTAAACCTTTTCTTATTCAAATAAATGTTTAATAATAGTTTTGCTTAAACATTGAGTCCAGAACAAACAGAAAATAAAATAATAACAACATTTTAAATAAATCATGTCTCTATAGTCTATTGTGGGATAAATTCGGGCCTGAGTTTGACATGTCTGTTCTAGAAGATGAAAACCACCAATAATTAATTCTGATTTTTGTTGTAATCCTCTTGATCAGGGTCTAAGATCATGTGTTTATTTACCTTTACCTTACCTATTTACCTCATATATTCAGGTGTAAAGACCCAGTGAGTAAATCCTTTAAAGTGCAGTCCAGTCAGGTTCATTTGGTCTCCCGATAATTGATGTGTTTATATTCTTTTTTTCAGACCGAGAGTTTTTTTCCCTCCTGACAGTTTGTTCCGTTCCCTGCTCCTCTTCCTCTTCCTCTTCGTCTCGTGATGTTTCTGTGACGCGTCGCTCAGCTGATTTAAACAGGTTTTTGGAGCAGGCTTTGGCGCTGTTTTCCTACTGTTGGAGTCAGGACGACAGCAGCAAAAATCTGTTTAAATCAGCTGAGCGACTCGTCACAGAAACATCAGGAGATTCTGAGGAAGAGGAAGAGGAAGAGGAAGAGCACAGGGAGCAGAACAAACTGTCACAATGAAAACAAACTCTGGGTCTGAACAAAAATAACCTGATCACTTTAAAGTGCAGGTTTCACTAAAACACTCTTTGGATCATTATGTTGAAGCTTTAATAATTTCTTCCCGTTTGGCAGTTTTTGGAGGTTTCAGTTTTTACTTCCTGGCTGGAAATCCTGACATAACACGAGGGAGTTCCATAACTGTTGCCTAGCAACCGTGTTTTACACTGGGCCAAAACTCCCCTCATGCACACGGAGACTATGAGGAGGAATAAAAAAACAACACCTTTATTTGCTTAAAAATGGTTTATCCTGTTATTTTTGTTCATTATGAATTAAAATATATATTATAATAAACATTAAAAAGCCTGTATTTGTTGGAATCGTGTTTAAAGTCTCAGAAAAATGTGTAAATTGTGGTGAACTTTTGGACAGGATTCTCCCAGTGTGATGTCAACAGTGTGGGACTCTCTAAAATAGAATTCTGCTTCATTTTCAACTGATTTTACAGCTTTTTTTCCCCCACAAATTGCTTCTTGTATAAAACTGTTATTTATTTTTACAATGAGTATTATCCACCCACTGAAGTAAAAATTTTACAATCAATCAAAACCTGTCATAAGGACTTTAAATTAGTCTAATAATTAGTCAAATAGTTAGTCGATAGTTATTGTAGCTCGTGTTAGGATTTTCAGAATCCGTGTCATTCGTTCATTCATTTTTCAATATAAAACCAAAAATAAGAAAACAAAAAAACAACAGTTTTCTTCATTATTTCTCTCTAAAACCAAAATGAAAAAACAGATAATTCATTTTTTTCAGTTTTTGATTTTGTGTTTAAATGAAAAATGGGAAAAAAACGGATAACAACCGTTTACGTGACTCCAGTGACTGAACCAGGACTGATCCAGGCCCGGGACCAGACCGAGACCAGAGCAGGACCAGACCGAGACCAGAGCAGGACCAGACCAGGACCAGACCGAGACCAGAGCAGGACCAGACCGAGACCAGAGCAGGACCAGGGCGGGACCAGGGTGGACACCGAGCTTTGACTCTGAGCCTCTGCGGGGTTCAAGCTTCAGCTTCGAGCTCCGGCCCTGCCGTGGGCTCTGAGCCTCCGGTCTAGTCCCAGCCTGGTCTTGGTCTCAGACCCGGTCTCAGTCTCGGTCTGGTCGAGGTTTCAGTCCCGGTCTGGTCCTGGTCTGGTTTCGGTCTCGTCCCGGCCTGGTCCTGGTTTGGTCTCGGTCTGGTCTCGTTCTCAGTCCCGCTCTGGTCCCACTCTGGTCCCACTCTGGTCCCGGACCTGGATCAGTCCTGATTCAGTCCTGGTTCAGTCCGGCATCGCAGTCACAGAAGTCATGTAAACGAGAAACGTCGTTATCCGTTTTTTCCATTTTTCATTTAAACACGTAATCAAAAACTGAAAAAAAACCGAATCATTATCTGTTTTTTCATTTTGGTTTTGGAGACAAATAATGAAGAAAATAGTTATTTTTTCGTTTTCTTATTTTTGGTTTTATATTGAAAAACGAACGAACGACACACGGGTTTCTCAGGATTCTCGGCTGACGTGTTGTTGCGTTTTGGGAGCTGCACATTTGAAGAGTCTAAACTAAAGTGAAGCTTGGATTATGTTCTCCTGTTTTTGCCTCGAGGCTCGAAGCGTTCTCGTGTTTGAAGAGCTCGGTGACAGCAAAGAGACTCACAACGGCGGGAAGAAAAAAACAAAAAACACAACGCCAAACCAGATGAGCTCGATTGCAAATACAGATCTTTAATAACAACAATAAAGGCACTTAGTGGACCACTTAACAATCGGCAAGGGGCACCTCACTCTCCTTTCTCTTCGTACTCATTTGCACGTTATTAAAATAAAACTTTGTCACGAAGCATTACACCAACGACTCTCTATAGCTACAATATAATACAAAAAGGTATAAACAAGTATAAACAAAAAGCACCTTTGGGCGTCGTGAATACTCTAGAATAAACACTGGGTTGTACAGACAGATCTGAGTTGGTTGTGATTGCGGTTTCGTGGTTTCAGTGCACAAATACAGGTCTTTGGAATGGCGTGTCCTCATATGCACCTGAGATTACATGATAGGACACCGGGCGAGATGTACCAGCCTACATACAGAGGAGTGTCGGTAGCACAGTATTTTCGATTGTCTACAGAAAACCAGTAAAAAAAAAAAACAGACAGATTGTGTAGTACTGTAACTGCTACAGAAGTTTTCCCTTCCGAGAACATTGGCATTCACATTAAAACACAACATAGCACCAGGTATTGTCGATAATATGAAGAATGTCAATGCAATACAGTAAAAATTTGACAGTATAGTAGGGTTATGTTTATGAAAGGGTGCGCAGACTACCGGCCCGGGTCAACCGTGAAGTCCTCCTGGTGGGTTTTTGACAGTTATTAAAAACACAAAAATGCAAAATGAACATGCATCTTTTAAAACAGACAATATTTGACTTTTCTTTTCAAGTATTTTTTTTTTAACTTCCCTTTATGTAATATAATCTCTATAAGCCGTTCTATTGACAATGAAAAAGCGGTAATGGTTTTCCCACTATCATATTCATTTGCTCTATTATTAGTCCTCACATTTGTTTAATAGAAAACATAAAGAAGACATAAAGTGACTACGTTAAGTGTTTAAAGATATCGTTTCACAGAAGAAGCCGCGCGATCTCTTTCCCCACCGGCCGCCGAAGGTCAACAGCCACTTTCGGAGTCCGTTTTCACACATTCGCCATAATTTTAACGTTAATTTATGGATTCAGATGTGTCCTTTCGTAACGGGATCTTGAAGCTGGTGAGTTTCTGGCCGAAGAGCTGGCTCAGGAGGTGGTTCTGCGACTCAGCCGTGCGATACGAGTGAGCGTCCATCGCCCTCACCCCCATCTTCGTCTTCGGTTTGTTGAAAGAGTTGTTCATCGGCACCTTGGAGATGGGCGGATGCAGAGGTCGCCCCATGCCCAAGTTTCCCTTTTTGGCTTTGTATTCTCCGTTCAGCGAAGTCACGACGTCGCTTTTCTTTGGTACGCAGCTTTCAAGTAAACTTTTCTTGGACTGCAGGTTGGGAGTCTTGCATTTGGCGATGATCTTGTTGCTCCCGATATCGCCGTGCACGGAGGCGAGCACCGGGTAATCGTTGGGCCCGTCCGATTTCCTTTGCGTCGTCACGGATTTCCCGGGCCGGAACTTCTTCTTGGCCTGCTCCACGTCGAAGTTTTCCTGCGTGACTGGCGAGGGGATCTTTTGCGAGCTGTGACACGACTTCACGTCTTTCCGCTTTTTCTGCAGTTTCGGAGGTTCTTTGTCTTCGTTTTGAACATTCGAGACTCTGGTTTGCGTCACATTTGTCGATTTGGAGTGATCTGCTGCTTTCACTTTGTCTTTCTCCAGTTTTTTAGTTTCGCCGTTTGAGGATTTTGACCCTTGCTGCCTCTGCTCCTCGTCCTTTTGTTGCTCTGTTACGCCGGTCGGTAACTGCGCTTTTGGCTCGTGCCTTTTTGAATTTGTGACATTTTCTTTGACGCTAGAAACCGCAGGGATCTCTTCTTTCTCTCCGCTGCCGGATAATTCATCACCTTTCGCGTTGACAATCTCCGCTTCTGTTTCACCTTCTTTGGGCGCTGCTCTGATGCACACAGACTCATTCTCCTCTTTCACATCACACGCTTCACTAATCAATTTTCCATTACCCTCTTCATCAGGATTAGGCGAAAGCGCTGGTTCAATTTCCACTTTGGGCAGATCGGCGTTGCTCATGTGAATACATTTCTCCAGCTCGATTAGCAGCTCCGAGTAGTCCTCTGCCACGTCTTCTGTCTTGACGTTATTCCCGGCGCCGTCGTTGTACTCGTTCACGGTTGTCTGAGTGGAATCGTCAGCCATAGACACGCAGGATTTCGAAGGTTGAGTTTCAGAGTTTTGGTGCAGGGGGCTGACGCTGGCGATCCCGCTGTCTGAGCTGTTTTCAGGCAAACTGTCAGAAAGAAGTCTCCGCTTTTTAGTCGCGGGAGAGTCACAGTCCTCGTCTTCCGTGATGGAAGCTTTGACAGGCCTCAGAACTCCTCTGAATTTAAAGATTTTGTTTCCCCCCAGCAGATGCTTCTCCATGTGTCGAACTGCTCTTTTTTGGAGAAAGTGTAATTACAAGTGCTGCAGATGAAGGACTTTTTGATCACGTGCATGACGTCTGCACAGAGCTCACAGGTGTAGAGCGTGGTGTGCTTTGAATCCAGCTCGTCCGCGTCCTCGTGCTCTCGTCGCAGGTGCTCCTTCAGCTCCTGCGCTTCCTGATACGAAACCGGGCACTTGTGACAGAGGAAGATCTTCTCTAAATTATGCACCACTAAATGTCTCTGCAGTTTGAAGGGCTTGGGGAACTGTTTTCCACAGTGGTGACAGTCTCTGGACGGGTCTTTGCAGTTGGGATGGATCTCCACGTTTTTCGGCGTGTCCACTTTATGCAGCACCTCGAGCGGAGTCAAAATCCCGGGCCTCCCGCTGGACACACTCCCGCTTTTAACCTTCTGAACTTTCTCCTCCGTCACGCTCTCAGACGCGCCATTTTTATCCTGCTCTTTCTGCGTTTTGCTGGTCTCTCTGCTCACTTTGCTGGGCCGATGCTGCATAATCGAGGTAATAAAATTCTTCACCGCCGTCTCTTGCATGATGCCGGTTATACCAAGCATGGAGCCCTGCGTTTGACCCCGCCGGGCGAACTGGGTGGCGTGTTCTCGTAAATGCTCGTTGTACATCCACACGTCGGAAATCTCCTTCAAGCACATCCCGCAGGTCCAGATCCCGCTCTTGTTTTTGGCGTGTTTCTCCCACAGGTGATCACGAAGCTGCTCCCTGGAACTGAACTTTCTCTGGACGCACATGTAGCAGGTGGGGGGAGGCGACGGGTTGTGGGAAAGTTTGTGGAAGTTTAACTCGCCCAGCGTTAGAAACCAGCTGAAACACACTTTGCACTTGTACTGTTTGTCTTTGACTTTCATTCCGCCGTCTTGTCTCTTGCGACCTCGGCGTTCTTGGTGTTTGCCGGTTTTATCTTGCTCCTTTTTCTCGACTTCTGCCGCTTCAATCGGCGGAGCGAGCGTCATGTCTTTATTAGAATCGAAGAACTGTATATCCGGCAGCTGGAATGTTGTGTTAATATTCTGAATGTCGATGCTGTGCAGGTTTTGAATGCTTTCTGCTCTCGGTTCTGTGGGGTCGGCGGAGAGCGGAGGCAGAGGCGGAGGCGGAAACGGGCTCGTTAGTTCCTCTTCTGTTTTACAAGCGCCGGGATCAGAGGTCACGGCCGAGTTGGCGCGTAATCCGCTGAAATTTAATAAGGACTTATCGATGGTGCTCTCGAGGCCGTTCAAGAGTCTACTTTCAGTCTCTTGAACGTTCTCGGCTTGATTCGGCATGTTTTCCGGGTCCTTGAGGCCGCTGTTGTGACACATGTTTAGCATAATGGCGTCGTCGATAGAGATGGTCTCGTACTGACAAGTGAGTGTTTGTGTTTTCAGGGAACGCGGGCGCCGTCTGCTCCGCTTGGACTTCAGTGAACGGCTCCACGTTGCTGACAGTTTGGTCAGTTTTGTGCTTTTTGTTTCGTTTGGTGTAAACCCGCGGGCATTTTTTCCTCTTCGCTTCTTCGTCTCTTGGAAAAAGCTGCGAGAACGAGTTGTCGTCGTCGAATATGGCTTTCAGATCCGGGCTTAGGTCTTGCGGCTTCAGAGGGGGGCCGCCGGGTGGAGCATGGCTGTCGTTTAGCTCACTGTTGTTCTCGCTTTTGATTTCCACTGAAGCATTTTCGCAGATCTCTGGCTTCTCTGCTCCGTCTGAGTTACTCTCCGCACTTTGTCCAACTGCATCACTGTTCACACACGAAGGACCCTCCACGGTTTTATCCGCGCTCACGATCACATTCTCGACCTTGTTACAATCTGCGGTTTGGTTTAGGATTTCCGTCTCTTTCATATCTGTTTGAGATGTAAAATTTTCTGTAACACGCTCTGAGAATTCCTCTATTTGACTCGCCGCTTGCTCTCGAGTCTCTGGTGATTTCGCCCGCTCTTTCAACGCGTTGTTTTGAAATTCAGGAGTAATCGCTTGCAGTATGTTCGTCTTTAATATATTTAGGAGCTGATCGGAGAAAGGTTCCACCGCCGTGTTTACCTCTGCGTTTTTACTCCTTTTAGCTTTGCCGCTCTTCTTTAATTTCGGCATCTGCGGGCCTGTTTCGTCCACTTTAATCGTCTCATTTTGTATTTCTTCCAGACCGGTTTCTGCAGCTTTAGGCATATCAATAGTCTCTGTAATTACATCCAAGATTGTATGTGAATCATCTTTATGCGTGGTCGCTGTAGGGTCAAGGACAAGGAGAGTTTCTGGCTGGCTGCTTGATATGTTTTGAATACCAGCCTGTTTTTCTGCTCTTACTGAATGCTTCATAGCCTTATGCCTTTTTAACCCTGGTACAGTCCTGAAGCACATGAAGCAGATTTCACACACAACCTTCCCCTGCTGGGAACTCTGCGCCTTCTTCGCCATCTCTTGCTTGTGAGCCGCTGAACCCTGGCCAGGCTCTATTGTTAGTAGTTGCCGGTCGGACGGTTCCGGGAGAGGCTGAATTTCGTTTTCACAGATGATCTTTGGCGTGGGCGGACCATCTGAAATGTTTTGCAAAAGTGTGTTGTCATCAGTAGATATGCGGTTGGAGTTTGCTTTCTCTGTTTCTGTCATTATACTTTCAGCTCCACTGTGGCAATCCTCCAAATGATTTTTTAGTTCAGAAGCCAAAGAAATGCTCTGAGAAGGGACATGCAATGAAAAACATGTGAGTCGCTCGGCTTCATTAATTGGCACCGGGTCGCGGGATGAAGTCAGCTCTGGGGTCAGGTCTGGTGTGTTATTGAAACTGTGTGTAGAATTATTGTTCAGCTCTTTGTGTCCCCTTTGGTCGCCGTTATCCTCAGACGGGTGCTCGGGTGAGATTGGAATATAATCGTATTGATGGAGCTTGGGAGGCTCGTCTGATCTGCTGCTGTAGTTTAGCGGGCTCAGCTTCAGATCGTACATTGGATTTGTCTTTTCCGCGCGTTCTGGTGCTTCAGATTCCTCCGGGCCTGTGATGGAGAGAGGAGAGGGGGCGCTGGCTTTGGAGATTTTACACTCGATAATATCCCCCAGGTCGGAGCGAGGAGGGCTTATCTTAGAATACTCCATCTCGGCCGCTGCTAACAGCTCGTTGTGATGGTCATCTTTGTCCAGAGGTGATTTCATCTGCACAGACTGATCGCCGCTGCTGGCCGGCGCATCCTCTCCATTGTCACAGTGTGTTACGTGAGGCTGCTCTGAGGGGGTCAGGAGGGACATGCTTGGCTGAGTCACATGCATAAACAGACAGGGACTGTCTTCCATCTCTCTGCATGGGGAGTTCTGTCTGCTGGCCATGAAATCCACAGGCAGCTGCTCTTTGACGGTGAGAATCTCCTGCTTGTGGATGCTGTCGAACCTGAGCTGCGCGTCGTGCTGTAAAGGGTGGGGCTGTAAAGGGTCGGTAAAAGGGTCTTTGGTGCAGTCTGCATCCATCAGGCTCTGTGAGGACGACAGGATTAACAGATTGTCTGTGTCTGAGGTCTGAGCGCTGGGGAAAGGTGAGCTCGGATCGATGGTTTCCTCATTTGTTTCGGCGAGAATGGGGCTGCAGGGTTTGTATGTGGTGATCAGCTCTAAAGACATGTCTCCTCCCAGATTAGAAAAGTTATCTTTTGTCACACACTGCGAAAACTCATTATTATTCATTTCGATATGAGCTGAAATTGTATCTTCAACGTTGGACTGCTCGATCAATATCTGCGTGACAGATTCATCTTTCTCATCCGTGTGCAGAGACACGTCGAGCAGAGCCGGTGAGAGCGGATTATCACACTGACCGATGATCCCCTTCACGGCCTCCGCGTCCTCGTGTCTCATGCTTAAACGTTCCGGACTGACACAAGTGTTTTTTAATAACTGTTGGCTCTGCTCTGTAGCGCCGCTCCCCGGGGCCTCCTCCAGCGCACGGGGGTCAGGGGTCACGTCTCGGGGGCCTTCATCAGACTCGATAGAATCACCGTTTCCACCGAGACCCTCCCCCCCTGACAGCGCTCCGTCTCCCGCCTCCTCCCCGCTGTTTTCAGATGAAATTGGCTCGATTCCGCAGACGCCGGGGTCACCGCTTTCGGAGAGAGACGAGTGCGGCGCGTTCAAAATGAATTCTATCTGCTCCTTCCGCTCATTGATACTTGGAGGCGATAATGTATTCTCCTGACTGGTAATTGCTTCCTTTTCACTCTGATCCTGTGTCTCAAACGCGTCGCTCGCCTGACATTCAATTTCTTGGTGCTGTTGACTCACAAGAGAAGTGGCGCTGGGTTCTTTCTGTTCTGTCATAATAGCCTCTTCTTTGAATATAGAATCAGAAATCACCTCCAGGCTTTTCATGAGGTTTTCGGCGTACCTCCTCTGCTCCAGCGCTTCCTCTTTTGTTTCCGCCGACGCGTCTCTCTCCACCTTGGCCTCCTCGGTTGTAATTAAACTCAGCCCATTGTTCTGTTTCTCCGCGAGAGGCTCAAGGGCCACTGCTTCACTCCGGAGCGGAGAGGGGGGGCCGGCGTGTCCCTCGATGAGCCCGAACTGGAACGGACTGGACCAGGGGAGGGCGGACTCGGCGTAGTGCTCGCTGGGCAGATTGGCGATGGGAGCGTTTATGGCCTCCACTGGGCAGCTCATGTCCAAACTGGAACTGTCATTTTCGCTCTCATCTGTGAGACGCAGTGGTGAAAATTTGCTCATCTGGAGAGGCTTGGGGGAGTCTTGCACAAGGAGAGGAGGGCTTTCCAACTTCGTCGTCTGCAGCTGATTTTCGAGCTCATTCACTATTCTCTTTATCTCCAGCTCATCGTCTGACACACAGTTGTTCAGGTTGGCGCCGTAGTCCATAATCTTCTCCGGCAGAGACAGGGAGACGTGATTGTAATCTGGTTTCTTCTCTGATTTTTCCGCTTTATACTGTGAGATCTCGTCCGGTAGCACTGGGCTCACAATCATGCTCCAATCTCTCTGCTCCAGGAACGGCGAGAAAGACGAGACGAACGCTTCCTTTTTGGCCGCGGCGTTTTCGATAGTGTGGAACGCCTCCTTCTGCATGGGCATGTCCGAGTAAATCCCGCTGTCAAACCCGGCCAGTTCCCCAAACATCGACGAGGTGTCAAAGGAGAGCGGGGACTTGATGAGGGCCTGCTCGGGCTCCAGGCTGTAGGGCATCAGGTGAAGAGTGTCTTTTTGAATGAGAGGGTCCTGCGGTTCAGACGGGGACAGACACACGCCATCCATCAGCGAGCTACAAAGGGACGGGGCCTTGTGTGTGTCTAGGTCATTGACTAAAGTAATGGACTCTTTCAGTGCGCTGTCATTCTGTTTTTCAAACGGAGCGGACAGATCAGACTGGGGGACACCGGCACCGGGCGCCCCTCCTTTCCCGCTCCCTCTGTCTGCGCTGGAATTGGCCTTTTTGTGAACGCTCACAGATTGGCTATCGCTGTGTAGTGGCTTTTTACATTGTTGTTGCTCCTCGCCGGCGCCGCTTCCATTTTGGCTATTTTTACCCACAGCGTTTTGTGATTCTTTGCTGGGGAGCTTGTCTTTTGTTTTCGACGGAGAGCTTTTCCGCTTTTCCACACTTTTTGTTGCGTCTGCCGCTGCTTTCGGCGAATCAGAAACTTGTGATTGACATTTCTTCGGGCTCTCCGCCGTCTCTTTCTTCTCCGCAACGACAGCTTTCTCGGAGTTGTATTTCTTGACCGACTTGGTGAATGTCAGGGCGAGTTTGCTTGATTCTTTGCACAGCTTGTACGGGGAAGACCTCTCGTACGTCCGATGCTCCGCCGGCTCTTTCTTTTTCACCTCCATCTTCTTTTCACAGTCCGAGTCGGTGCGGTCGGTGCTTTTGGGGCTGCTGGTCCCGTCGCTCACAGAGGTGCTGAGGTCGCTGCTTGTGGACGACCTGCTGCTTCTTCTCTTTAATTTAGGTTTTTCGGGAAACAACGACAGCTCCTCGCTCTTTTTCACCTCGAAACACTCTTTGGACTCGTGCCTCCACGCCGCCTGGTCCCTGTCGCTCCTCGCTCGCCATTTGCACTCTTTCGTATAAGTGTATTTGCACCGACTGCTTTGGTTCAACCTTCCTTGGCTCGCGATCTTCACCGGTTCACATTCTTCGTCAGAATCAGACACGTAGTCATACTCCCCGAACGCTGGGTTCTGTACAGTGGGCGTGAGTCTCTCCATCACTAAAGAAAACTGCAGATTTTTAGTGCCTTTGACGTGGAGTTTGTGCAGTTTATTTTTCTGTTGCACTATTTTATGAATCAGTTCTTTGCTCCAGGATCCTCCGGCGCTGTTTTTCCGTTTGGTCTCCTTCACGGTGGGTTTGGAGGTCGGGGACAGAGAGGCCTGCGAGGAGGGGACGGGCCCATTTTCTTGGAAGCCCTTTAGCTCGCAGCGCTCAGAGAATTTGCTGGATAACACGAGCCTCTGAGTATTTTTGTCCTCACTTTTGCAGAGTTTTCGCGTCTCTTTCGCTTTGCCATCCTGTTCCCGTGCCTTCTCCCTCGAGGCGCCTCTTGAATTTTTATGAGAAAGTTCTTTTTTAATGTTAATTTTCTCATCTTGTTCTAAATTCAAAGAGATTTTTTCCAATTTGCATTCCGCGTACTGCTTCTCACTGTCAGGGCTTTCCTCGTCTGAGTCGTAAAAATACTTTCCCTGTGTAAAAGATCTGTCTGATTCTTCTTTCGGTTTACTTTTCTTCTCGCACTCTTTTGTTTTCAAAGATTGTTTAGTCGATGTTGTTTTGACATTGTTTAGCTCATCGTCTCCAAACGCGTCAATAAAGCTACTGTCGATTTCGGCGTTGTCAGACTGATAGCCCATTCCGTTCAAAGCCTCCGTAATTAAACTGTCTAATTTGGCGTCCTCCATCTCCAGCTCGGGCAGAGGCACAGGGAGAGCCCCAGAGCCAGTAAACAAATTCAGCTTCATGGAATCGTCCTTGTTTTCTCCTTTGGCGTCGCTGTCTGGAATCAGCTCCCCGTTTTTATTCAACCCCAGGAGAGACAGGTGGAGCTCGGACGGGCAGCGGGGCAGAGACAGATTCGAACACGCGGGAGCATTTTTCGCCGGTTCGTTATTAAACTTTTTACCCTCATCCATTTTTGACATCTCCTTCAGCTCGTTCTGTGCAAATGCGTGCTGGGAGCAGTACTGCTTGTGGCCCAGGAAGGAAGCCAAGTTGTTGAAATTCTGATCACACTGTTTGCATGTGAGGAGCACGTCTAACTGGTCCAGATTGGCGGTGGCGAGGGAGGTGGCCAACTGGTGCGCGGAGTAAGGAGGGGGAGGCTGGTGATGCTCCACTCCGAAACTGTCTATGTACGTTTTGTTTACGTCCATGCTGTTTTTATTGTGCACGCTGTTGTGTAAATACCCCATCATGTCGTCTTTGCTCCTGTCGGCGGCGTACGGCAGGGCCCTGTCGGCGTGGAAGGCGTGGGGGTGGGAGGCGAGGTGATCGGAGCTCTTGGCGGGAGCGGGATGGTAAAAGGGGTGAGGCGGGGCGGGTTTGGACAGCTGACTCTCCTCGGAGCTGAAGTTAACCGGGCTGGTGGAGGCGGGCGACAGGGACGAGCAGGTGCTGCTGGAGGCGGGGTTGTGGACGGGCGAGGGCAGGGGCGACTCGTACGGCGACACCATCATGAGTCCCATGGGCGGCACCTGCAGGGGGGGGGTAGCTGTAGTTTCTGGACGACGCCGTGGTGAGGGGCTGGTTCAGGCCGAAGTACACGGTCTTATTTTTAGACTCGCAGACTTGTGTGTGGCTCATTTCCACTTTAAACGTGGAGACGGCGCCGGAGCCGTGTTTGATGGGGTCTTGCCTCCCGTTCTGAAATGTGCTGGAGTTTTTCTGTTTGTGTGACTTATTCTCCTCCTGCCAGTCTGACGGGGACACCATGTACGACAGCTTCTGCCGAGATAACTCTATCCGGTTCTGGTTGTGCATGGCAGTGTTCGGCCGTATCTGCTGCCAGGGCATCCGGCTGTTTTTAGACGAGTTTGATCTTTGGTCGTGAACAGTTTGATTCTGGAACTGAAACTTGTCATTCATGTCGTTGTACTGGTTGTTCTGCTCGTTAGACTGATATGTTTTGTTGTTTCCGTCCCAGTTGTGCGGTAATCTGTTTACAATCTTATTATTCATGTTTTTGTCGAAGCTGACGGCGCCGCGGTGCACGCCGCTGCTGAGTGAGGGGGTAGAGTTCATTTTTTTGTTTGGAAAGTGTATTTGAGTCCCGGGGCCTTGTGGAAGGCTTCTTGCGTAGTGCACACTTCCCTGTAGTGTCCTCTGATTGGCTGCAGAGTCTTTAGAGTGACAGTTCCTCTTACTCCCTGACGCGTCCGTCTGCCCACCAGCCTCTTTGCCCTCGGGGATGCCAGCTTTGCCCTGCTCCGACTGCTGCGAGCTGGAGCCGGAGCTGTCGCTGCTGGCAGAGTCCTCGCTCAGACTGGGGCACTGCGCGGAGGTGCCCGCCGCGGGGGCAAACGCCGGCTCATTATTGAACTGTGTGCTGCTCTGGCTCACGGTCTGCCCAGGCCCAGAGCCGAAGGGGAAAGAGTGAGAGACGTGGGCAGTGCCCAGAGAGTCTGTGAAGTCCTGGGATCCAGCACTTTGTTCACAGAAAGCGTCAGAGGCAGACTCCTCCAGCATGTGGTACCCAAACTGGAACGGGCCGGACACAAAGGCGCTGGGTTTACTGTCGCTGAGGGGAGCGGACTTCTGTCCAAAGTTAGCACCAGAGAAAGTTCTGTCTGAAGACTGCCACGTGTTAGATCCACTCATCTGAAAGTCATTCAAAAGGAGCTGAGTGCCCGCGGTGGCACCGCTGTTTTCCATAGAGGCGGGCGGCGGGTGAGCGGGCGGCGTGTGGGCGGCGGGCGCGTGGGCGGCGGGCGCGTGGGCAGGGGGCTGTGAGGTATAGTTCTGGGAGCTCTCCTGGAAGCAGCGGCTGTAGCTGAGCTCGTCCTGCTGGAGCTCCGCCTCTCGCTCGGGTAAACTGGGGACGTGGAAGCGGTAGCTGCCCGTCACGGGGCGGCTGGTCTCCAGCTTCTTGGGCGGGGAAACCTTCTGCTGCGGGTAGGCGATGCCGATGGTGGGGTTGGCGCGCGGGTGAGTGATGCTCAGTCTGTACAGCTGCTGCGGACTGCCCCGCTCGGACTTGCCCGTCCTCCTGGCCTTTTCTCGGCTGCGTCCTTTTCCGCTCGGGGACTGGGGACTGGCTTTGGCGCCGGGCCAGGTTCTGTCCGAGGAGAACTTGTTTCTGTTCTGGAGAGAGCTGAAGTCGATCTTCCCGGCCTGTTGGGGTCTGATCACAGCCTCTCTCTGCTGCGTCACGTCCCTCTCTTTCTCTTTGGCTCTGGCCTCAGTGCTGCTGTGAGGAAAATCCTTTGCGGTTTTGTCTTTGTGTGAGTCGAGCGCCGGCCTCTCATCCCTCAGTGTGGACTCGGAGTCCAGTTGTTTGACAGCGTGTTTGAGCTGGCTCTCTCCTGCCATGGTGCAGAGCTGTGCTGAAGCCAGGTCCTCACAGAGACTGTCAGGAGAATCAGAACATCTCCAGCGGCAGGGACTGCAGGGACACGGCTGCTCTCTGCAAGCTCATCTCTTCACTCCCATCCTGGACTTTTCATCTGGCAGCTCAGGGACCTGAGGACACAGAGAGAGAGAAATATTAAATAAACAGGTAATTTGTGGTTTTCAGATTCTACAAAGTGACGATGTCAGACTCAGATGGAGGCAGGGGCCAGTTTCCCTGACTGTTCACTGTACTTTGCCATATTTTGACACATCCAAAAAAGTGAATTCAGAAATGTTTGACTTGATCATTTCTGTCACCGACGAGAGCCAAGAACTCACTGAATTACAATAAAAATCAGCATTTTAAAATGATTCACGTTGGCTGCCCCCATCTCTGTTAAATAACACAGAAATAAAGAAGGTCGTGATGTCATTAAAAAAACAGCAACAACATCACAAACGTTACAAAAGAATATAAAGTTTAATAAGCTAGAATAACTCTTTAAGATATATTTTAGAAAGAAAAGCAGAAAAAAGAGGAGAGCAGCAGCACAGAGTCAGATGACAGTTCCCGCTCACTGCCAGCAGAGGGCACTACTGACCCGTCACACACTCGCACACACACTGGCTCAGCACAAAGAGCCTGTGTAATCAGCAGGAAATCTCCCCGAGCCAAAACTCATATTCCACTTCGGATCCACTGACACTGACATAAGACGACATGTGCTGAAATAAACAGTGTTTGTTTGTGAGAGAAACAATATTCTGCACAAACAGCCCCATAAAGAGCCAAAGAGCCAAAGAGCCAAAGAGCCAAAGAGCCGCCCCGGAGCGAGAGCAGGAGTCAGACTAAACTGTGAAGGGTCCGGTCCCGGGGCCAGTGCATGATTCACACGCTCCTCATGCCGAGCGGGACAATGGCGCTCTGTCCCGCCGCCGCAGCCTGGACGCTTGAAGGGAACATCAGGATTAAACCGTCACAGTTTCTCTGTCGTCCGTCACACGGTTTTCTTTGGCCGCGGACGCCAGCGCTTTGTGCGGCGAAGCCAGAGGAGGAGACGCGACCAAGATCACACCTCTGCAAATACGACCGAACCGAACCGGACCAGACCAGACCAGACCAGACCAGAGAACCAGACCAGACCAACCAGAACCAGACCAGACCAAAAACCAAACCAGACCAGACCAAACCAAAACAAACCAGACCAGAACCAGACCAGACCAGACCGAACCAGACCAGACCAAAACAAACCAGACCAGACCAAAACAAACCAGACCAGACCAAACCAGACCAAACCAGACCAAACCAAAACAAACCAGACCAGACCAGACCAGACCAGACCAGACCAACCAAACCAGACCAAACCAGACCAAAACCAAACCAGACCAGACCAGACCAGACCAACCAGACCAAACCAACCAGACCAGAACCAGACCAACCAGAACCAGACCAAACCAAAACAAACCAGACCAAAACCAAACCAGAACCAGACCCAGACCAAACCAAAACAAACCAGAGCAGACCAGACCAAACCAGACCAAACCAAAACAAACCAGACAAAACCAAACCAGACCAGACCAGACCAGACCAGACCAAACCAGACCAGACCAGACCGAACCAGACCAAACCAAAACAAACCAGACAAAACCAAACCAGACTGAACCAAACCAGACCAAACCGAACCAGACCAAACCAAACCAAACCAGACCAAACCAGACCAAACCAAAACAACCAACCAACCAAACCAGACCAAAACCAACCAAACCAGACCAGACCAGACCAAACCAGACCAAACCAGACCAAACCAACCAGACCAAACCAAACCAGACCAGACCAGAACCAAACCAGACCAAACCAGACCAAAACCAAACCAGACCAAACCAGACCAGACCAAACCAGACCAGACCACCAACCAGACCAGAAACCAACCAGACCAACCAGACCAACCAAACCAGAACCAAAACCAAACCAGACCAAACCAGACCGAACCAGACCAGACCAAACCAAACCAGACCAGACCGAACCAAACCAGACCAAACCAAACCAGACCAGACCGAACCAGACCAGACCAAACCAAAACAAACCAGACAAAACCAGACCGAACCAAACCAAACCGAACCAGACCAGTGTGTTCTGCCCGAGCGAGTGACGGAGCGGGTGTGATGTGCAGTGTTGGGGAGTAACAGATTACATGTACCAGAGTTAAGTAATCAGAGTACAAATGATGAGTAATTGTATTCAGTTACAGTTACTGTTTCAGTGAGTGGGAATTGGATTACAGTTACTTTGTTGAAATAAATGGATTACACTGAGGTATTTTCCTGTTTTCACATTTTGGGCTAAACCAGAACTAAACCAGGACTAAACCAGGACTAAACCAGGACTAAACCAGGTCTAAACCAGGACTAAACCAGGTCTAAAACCAGGACTAAAACCAGGACTAAACCAGGTCTAAACCAGGACTAAACCAGGTCTAAAACCAGGACTAAAACCAGGACTAAACCAGGACTAAACCAGGTCTAAACCAGGACTAAACCAGGTAAACCAGGACTAAAACCAGGACTAAACCAGGACTAAACCAGGTCTAAACCAGGACTAAAACCAGGACTAAACCAGGACTAAACCAGGTCTAAACCAGGACTAAACCAGGACTAAACCAGGACTAAAACCAGGACTAAACCAGGACTAAACCAGGACTAAACCAGGACTAAACCAGGACTAAACCAGGTCTAAACCAGGACTAAACCAGGACTAAACCAGGACTAAACCATGTGATGTGACCTGCGGCCTTCAGCTCCGGTGAAGAGTCCGACTTTAGGAAGAGGAGTCGATTTACGGACAAAACGTGAAACAAAAACCCCAGGATCATCAAAATCAGATCAATACGAACATTTTACGACCAAAATGAGGATCCCGAAAGCCGCGGTTACACAGAATTACAGATTTATTTTCGACACAAACTGAGTTAAAGACCTGAACTCCGCTGCTTCGCGTCGTGTTTTCTTTACGCGTTGGCAGAAAAAGCTCAGATTTGCGCCGAAAAGTCCAGATCTGGATCGAGTCCAGGCTGCAGAACGTAAAACTCCTGCCAACTTTTTTTACGCGGGGCAACTTCTCACCGAGGAAGGGCCTGAAACCGGAGCTCGGATCGGCCGGTCTGCTCCAAACGTGTCAGAAAAACGCACGGAACCTGCTTCTTTAACGTTTTATTTCTCGATTTATCCAACTAAAAACAGCCGATGCGCATGTTTTACCTTCTGAAAACTCCGCAAAAAGTGAAAACTCGTGCAAAAATATCATTACTTTTAAATGAGAGCAGAGTATTTCTAGTCCAGCGAGGTTCACTTGGCCTTCTGATCATTTATTTTAACAGATTCTTTTTTCAGACCAAGGTTTAGTTTCTTTTTTTTTTTTTTTTTTTTTAGACCTGACAGCTTCAATCGCTCACTGTGGTCTTCCTCGGGCCAAGCGACAAGACCGAGCGAAAAAAACAAACTAAACCAGGCTCCGAAAACGGAACCGAATCAAATAAAACGTAAAAATAATCACGTCTGAGAGTATCTGTCGTAAACGCCGGCTTTTAAAACGAGGCGAGCGTCAAGCAGAAGTAAAAAAAAACGCAGAAGCGCGTAAACGTGATTCACCGCTGCCCGATTCTTTACGACGGCACTAAGTACGAACCACGTTACGGCGAACAGCTCCCCCGCCGCGCTGACGGGTTTACGGGATGAATAATCGGGACGGCAGGAGCGAGTGGGTGGGCGGCAGGAGCGGCAGGAGCGGCAGGAGCGGCAGGAGCGGCAGGAGCGGGCGGCAGGAGCGGCAGGAGCGGCAGGAGCGGCCTCCTGGGGCACGTTCTCCAGACAGGTGCTCGGACGCGGAATTTATTCAGCGCCGTTAAATCACGAGAGTTTAAAGCACAAAGAGGTTAGAGTGTCTGGAGACTGGAGGCCTGGTTTAGTCCCGGTTTAGTCCTGGTTTAGTCCTGGTTTAGGTCTTGGTTTAGTCCTGATTTTAGTCCTGGTTTTGTGGTTTTAGTCCTGGTTTAGTTCTGGTTTAGTCCTGGATTAATCCTGGTTTAGTCCTGGTTTAATCCTGGATTTAGTCCTTGTTTAGTCCTGGTTTTAATCCTGGTTTTAGTCCTGGTTTAGTCCTGGTTTAGTTCTGGTTTAGTCCTGGTTTAATCCTGGATTTAAATGAGATTACAGTTTTTAGAAACAGAAGCTCAGTGTGTTTAAAAATGGATTTGTACAAGAATCATGTGAGAAACAAAACTCAGACTCAAACTCAAATCGACGCAGTTCACACAGACGGGGGTCGCCTAAAATGAATTTGTTAATATTATTATTATTATTATTATTATTATTATTAATAACGATGTTTGGGCGAGTGACTTTAAAACTGTGATGTGTTTTTATTTATGACGTGTTTCTGTCATTTCAAAGTGATTCGTGACATTAAAATATTAATGTGTTTAAAATATAAAATATGACACGAATATTACAGAAGTTTAATTTACTCTCAGCAAAAGAACTGAGAAGATGATGAAGTTTTGCACCGTAGATGGACTGAACCAGAATGGGTCAAATGCAAAATGGGTCAAATGCAGAAGGGTTAAATGTACAGTGGGTCAAATGTGGAATGGATTCAATTCAGAATGGGTTCAACTCCAGGATGAATCAAATGCGCAATGGGTCAAATGCAAAACAGGTCAAATGCAGAACTGGTTAAATGCACAGTGGGTCAAATGCAGGAGGGGTCAGATTCAGTATGAATCAAATACAGAATGGGTAAAATACAGAAAAGGTCAAATTCACAATGGGTCAAATGCAAAATGGGCCAAATGCAAAACAGGTCAAACACAAAATAGGTCAAATTCAGAATGACTCAAATGCAGAATGACTCAAATGCAGAACGGGTCAAATGCAGAATGGTCAAATACAGAACAGGTCAAATGCCCAGTGGGTCAAATACAGAA